TCAAAAGTTATTTACGCAGAGTAATTGCCAATCAAGGAGAGAATAAGCAACATCAAAGCATAGGGGGTGTCTCCCCCCTGAAATCAGCTCCCTAATGTATTCCCTGACTGAGCCATTTTGTCAGTCCACATTTACATCCATGATCTTCCCTCAGTCTCTCTAACCTGGCAGATCTGCCTCTCACCTGTCCCACAGAACGGCCCACGGCTGTGAAACCTGCCTCTGTGTCTCCGGAACCCTCCTCGCCGTCTCCGTAGGTCCGTGTGCTTACCGCTTTTCCTAGGTGTCCGACAGGATCTTTCATAAAAGACGGCTGTCCCCTTTCGCCAGTTTCATACTTTCCCTTTGATTTTGCTCACTGGTATCACTTTTAGCCTGGGCTTCTTTCAGAGCAGAACTATTTTTCTGACCCATGTCAGAAGACGACGGAGGTTCCTCATACTGTTATTGCTGAATGGGCTTTCCCTTTTCAAAAAGAAGCTGGAGTGAGTCTTTGATGCTGGCAGAACTGGAAGGTGAATAGAAACGGGACAATAGTAAGAGGGCTTGGGGTCGAGAGTGTGGTGCAACCTGTATGGACCGTTTCCCATGTTGTCCATTACAGGCAGAGCACATAAAAACGAGGCCCACCTCCCAAGGCCTGCTATGAGTTGAGTAGGACAGGTTCTTGGTGTTCCTTGGAAATGTAGCGGAACACTTACCCTACAAAGCAGTTTCAGTTTTACAGATCCACATAAACAGAGGTTTGCCAGTTGAAGTTTGACCCATATCTGTCAATAGTGATGTCAATAAAAATGCATAGACAGCTCCACCGCTGACTGTACAGGGCAGGAGGTCAGTGACAGCGCATAGACAGCCCCACGCTGACTGTACGCGGCAGGTCATCAACGACAGCGCATATACAGCCCCACCACTGACTGTACACGGCAGGACATCAACGACAGCGCATAGACAGCCCCACCACTGACTGTACACGGCAGGACATCAACGACAGCGCATAGACAGCACCACGCTGACTGTACGCGGCAGGACGTCAGTGACAGCGCATATACAGCCCCACCACTGACTGTACACGGCAGGACATCAACGACAGCGCATAGACAGCCCCACGCTGACTGTACGCGGCAGGACGTCAGTGACAGCGCATAGACAGCCCCACGCTGACTGTACGCGGCAGGACGTCNCGCTGACTGTACGCGGCAGGACGTCAGTGACAGCGCATAGACAGCCCCACGCTGACTGTACGCGGCAGGACGTCAGTGACAGCGCATAGACAGCCACACCGCTGACTGTACACGGCAGGGCCTATAAGTCATGCTTGTTGTGTTTTCCCATAAGTGAGCGCAATAGATCTCCAGATTTAGCATTTCCGTTTACACACTTGGACAGTCAATCAAATCATTTTTGATATGGCCCCTTAGGCCTCATGCTTTGACGAGTATTTATTTTTGTGCAACTTCGCTGGTGTATTTTTGCATAATTGTTAATGTTATACGCGTATATCAAGAGTCAGTGTGAATACCGTTCTGAACCAGAAGGTTTCAACAGAAATGAGGAAACACGTTCCTGATTGTCTTTTCTGCATGAATGTAAGTGCAGATGTTCCAGTCTGGCATTTTTAAGTAATTGCTTTAAACAAAAAGCTATTCCTTTTTCCGAGAAATAACAATATGAAATTAATCGGTTCCACTGTGTTTTGTTCTTAAGGATTAGATAAAGGCGGCTGCTTGGGGATGCTAGAAAAAAATAAATAAAGTCATAAGAGGCTTTAGCCTGCCTTTATTAAAAGGATCTAAGACGTAACTGTGTTACAAAGTGAGTCATGATGCCGGTGCCTTTATCATGCGAGGAGACGCTCTGTCACTCAGCTTCCAGCAGATGTGTATTCACCTATTTACAAGTAAACTGCAATCATGCTCTTCCCCATAACGTTCTGCAAATCATTTTTAGAGTACAAGGCGGTGTGATAAAATGTTTTCCTGTAGAAAGTAATGAGAACATCAACCAGTTGGTGTTTTTACATGGATTCACAACAAGCCGGCCTTGCTTGAAATTCCCAGGGCGTAAACACAAGCGCAGGGGTGAAGCCAGTTCTTGCTGAGATGGTCAATTGGAGAATCTTTTATTTGGATACTGTTATTATTCCTAGTTCCTAACCTGATTGGGCCTTAAAAATCAAAGCAGCCCAGATCGTGCTGGAATAAATCTCCTCTTCCATTAATCTGTCTCCTTGCCCTCTCCCTAGCAAAATTGTTGCAGTGAGGTTGGATTTATAAGGAAATTAAACGGATGAATTCTGAGCCTGACGCATCAGATTGAATGTTGGGATACTGTTGTTTCTGATTATACATAAATCGTAGTCAGACGCTCCCACGGTAAACCTTACACTCCAACAATTACGTCACCACTGTGGTCCTAAATAACATATTTCAGCTGTGACTTTCCCTTATTTGCTGTTTCCTGCCCTTTGCTGACTGAAAGCAATAAAAAAATAATGTGTTGTTGGGCACATAGCGGTAGTGCTTAAGGAAGACCATGGATGATTCAGCTTACAATTAATTCCTCTTTTCAAATATAAAAAATCTGGACTTACTTATGGTGCTACATAAAGAGCATTTTCTGGAGGAAATTATATTTACTTTTAGTGAAAACAAACAAAAATGTAATTCAGTGTAAATGTTTAAAGGAAAAGAACTGTCTTGATAATACTACCGTGGTTTCAAAGAACTTCGTAATCACACTTTAAGTGTCTGTATTCTGTTAATTTGGTAATAGCCAATAACTATCTTAAATAAAGTACCAACATTTTGATTTCTGGTTGTAAAGAATGTAAATCATTGAAGACTAACAGCTTAATACACAGCAGATAAATAAATGCTTGTTATGCATAAAATACATGGCATTTTAGTTTGGCATTCAAAGCTCAGTGGTTGTACACTGAAATGCCCCTGAAATAATATTTATCTTTGTTATTCTCTCAGAGATGAAGATGAGCTTATATAATAATAATAATAATAATAATAATAACAATTACAACAACAACAACAACAACAATAATAATAATAATAATAATAATAATAATAATAATTAATATCAAAGCATACACGTGCTTGATGTGAAGTAGAGGTTGTTTCTAAGTTTTTTGTGACAGGCAATGGCACGGGTGTCTTAATGGTTAAAAGCTCAGGTCTTAGGAGAGATGCTGTTAGGGAACAAGGTCGAGATGCTTGGCATCTCTCTGAGACGGGGCACTCTCTGGTGAGACGCCGAGATGCTTGGCATCTCTCTGAGACGGGGCACTCTCTGGTGAGACGCCGAGATGCTTGGCATCTCTCTGAGACGGTAAAAAATAATCATTATTAAACCCTTGTTAAATGGATAGCTCTCTTAAAGCACTTTGTTTTGTTTCTCCAAAGGAATGAGTGACAGAACCAACCTCCTTCAGATTCTGTCTTTATTATATTTAATGCCTTGAATGTGTTGATATCATCCCTCAGGGACAGATTTGTTTCTGAGACTCCTGAATTATTTTAATCCGGCTGAGAGGATATCCTTGGGGCTCTTTTTCTATCACCTTCAAGCAGACTTCTTCAATCTCCTTCTGTCTGGTAATACAAACTCAGAAGATGGGTCATTTCTTAAGCCAAAGCTGTAATCCTAGATCTGCGTGAAGAGATGTTTTGGGGCAATATGAGCACTGCAGGTGTCAGACACGTTGCCTGTTATCTGCCGTTTCTTCCTCCCTCCTTTGGGAAGCTGTCATTTCTCCCATTGAAGCCCTAACTTGCATTATTCCCAGGCAGGACCCATACAGCAGCATGCTGTTCCCTGTCAAAATCTATTTAAGACAAGCAATCAATCATCTACACGCATGCACATACCTATATATAAATAGTTCAGAATGAGTTAATTACAATTAATAAATGACGATAAAATATTTTATTTCTATATGTTAGCTACTTATAAGAACTTGAGACTCCCACATGTGATTATGCTCAATTGACCGAGGCACAGAAGAAACATTGTATATAATTGTAACATTTTTATTCAGAGGCCACAGTCTTTGCATATTACAACTGTAGGCATTCGTAAGGCATAAGCATGGTTACTCCACCTGCAGGTACTTTACACATAACAAAAGCTTTGGGATACAGTGGGGCGCGTGGGGGTCAGTCAGCTACTGGAAGGTGCAGTGAATGCAGTGTGATATGTACAGGCAGGCCACAGGCCTGAAACGGCCGCTTCACATCTCGTGCCAGAAATGATGGTAATAATAAGAAGAGGTACTCTGTCACCTGCAGGAAAAAGCTAAAAGTTTCTCATTTGTCTGTATCCTGATTAAAAAAACATTAATATCCCACACAACATCACAATGGCTTTATATGGATATTGCATTTCTAAAATACCAACTTATTTAAATTAAAAAAATATTTTCTGTGTGTAGGGGAATATCACTGGATGCAGAATCAATTGAAGAAAAAAGAGACAGTTTAATAACAATTACAGGATACAGAGTATGAAAACAGCACAGAAGTCCTTCATGATGAAACTTGAAAACATTGGTAAATTTTAAGCAGCCTGCATCCATTTCATAACAAACAAAATAAATAATAGGTCTATATACTTTTTGTCACGACAATATACCATCAAAGTATTTACAGTACGTTGAAGAAGCATATAGGGTTGCAGTGAACAGGGACACACCTAACAGTATTCCTAATTACCTTACTTAACATCGTCAAACAAATGATATTCCATATTGCTTAGGAACATACAGATATCAATTTCGATACCAAATGCGCAAAGTTTGTGCTACCTGTATTATACCACACCTAAAATATCAATTATGAATATATTTTTCCATTCCTATTATTTTTTAATACTGCTGTTTTTCCTTCATGGGCATTTAGACCGGACAGAAGTAAATGATCAGAGTGCTGAGCTGAATAGCTGAGCTGGTACATGCACTGACTACCAGGCTAAAGCATCCCCCCCCCCACCCCACCCAGTGTTCTAGTCGTCATCCTCTTCCTCATCACTGTCCCTCATGGAAATTCCCTGCATGCCGCCTTCTCGGACTGACGCTGTGGTCTCTTCCAGTGTCAGCCGATTCCGCACAGTTTCATACATCTTGCTGTTCAGTGTGGAGTCCAGCACTCCTTGTAGTCGGAAGTCACGGTACTTTTTCTACAAACAGGAAATGGGACAAAGGGAATCTCTGGCACTTTCTTTAAGGACTCTTCTGAGAGCTGGTAACGAGTGGCATTCACCACACCTGTTCCCACGTTAAGGACGACACTGTCCTGATACCGTCTGTTTCACGGCTGTCGAGTGGGCGACACAAACCATGGAGCACCTCCTCCACAGATCGAATGAAAATAAAACACATTTTGCAGTGCTTCCAGGCCCTCGCACCGAAACAGGGTTGTACTGAAATTTTTATGATGTAAAAGGAGCATGGAAAACACTGACTGTGAGGGCATGTTCACTGGCACAGCCTCCTCTCCGCTCACATACGCCCGGCACCTCCATCGCCCGCAGTGCCGAACTGCATCTGGACCACGACAGCAAGCCGACTTTGTGCATAACTGAACTGGCTGTGATATTTTAATTCAGTTTGTAAATTTGAATTGAATTTGAATTGTGGTGGATAACAGGATGCAGAATTGCAATGCAAATTTGCATTTAAGGAAGCAGTTGTGTGTAACTTTTAACAATATAGCTTAATATTTCAATATAAATTATACATAAACATGCTAACAGACAGGAATTAAACTTGTAGTGTCTCCTGTAGAATAAATAATTTAACTGTTATTTTGTGTACCAAGGTGGATCTTGTCATTTGAAAAGTGTCTCCCCCGAAACTCCGTGCTTAGCTGTAATGACTGCAGCACCCGACCAATGAAATGTCCCAAACTCTACAAGGAAGCTCAGACTAGTCCCGCACCTACCAACGAAGCGTCACGTAATGATCCAAGCTTGCTACCTTTAGTGGAGGATGCCAACACACTGAGCTACTGGAATGGACACCAAAGCAGCTTCCCTAAGCTAGTGCAACCTGCCTGCAAAAACCTTGCTAAACCAGCTTTTTCTGCACCTGCTGAGAGAATCTCCAGTGTAACAGGAACATTTAATCTAAAAGATAAGACCTTTGAACATCTTTTGCTAATTATATGTAACGATATTGAGCAATGAATCGTGTATTGGAATAAAGCAAAACTGCATTTTCTATTATATCATACACAATTCTACGCTTACAATCACGCAAATAAAAAGTGCACTTGTGCATGTATAGGCTCAATACATCTACCATCTAGAAGGTAAATCTAGTATGTAATCAAAGGAGAGAGCGTGAAATTGTGGGGGACACAACTTAATTTAAATTTCACAAACTGTTTACTTTGGGGGGCGAATGATGTCAAATTAAATATGCTCACACACCAGACTACTGGAATACTCCCCCCCAATTCCTACTCTATGGTAAATAAGTAGATTAAATGGCATTCCTCTGTTGTGTTATTCCGTTCAATATTTTAAAATTGAAATTAATTAAATTATTCTTCCTCTCATTACAATTCAAATTACAATTCAACATCCTGCTGGGTTTGGCCAATTCAAATTCCAATTTGCGAATGAAATGAAGCACAATTCATAAATTCTGAATTTTGCACACCCCTGCAGCAAACGTGCTGGTTTGGAGCTCAGGGACCTACAAGCACTATGCGTGTCTGTCCCAGACTAGCCGACGGGGCCCGTTAGCTCACAGTGCATACGTTTCATCCACAAGGACTGTGTGTCTGACCCAGGTTAGCCAGCGGGGCCCATTAGCTCACAGTACATACCTTCCATCCACAAGGACTGCGTGTGTCTGTCCCAGACTAGCTGACTGGGCCCATTAGCTCATAGTGCATACCTTTCATCCACAAGGGCTGCGTGTGTCTGTCCCAGGCTAACCAGTGGGGCCCGTTAGCTCACAGTGCATACCTTTCATCCACAAGGACTGCGTGTGTCTGTGTCAGGTTAGTCATTGGTGCTGTTAGCTCACAGTCCATACCTTTCATCCACAAGCACTGTGTGTGTCTATCCTAGGCTAACCAGCAGGGCCCGTTAGCTCACAGTGCATGCCTTTCATCCAGAAGGACTGCGTGTCT